CTTGTTTCCCTTCCAGCTTTTAAGAGAGTATTCTTATCTAATACACAAAGAAATTATAACATGGAAAGCAATAGACTGCTCTAGAGCAGCAGTCTACAGGAGAGGCTCTCAGAGGGCCTCCAGAGTAAACCTACTGCTGGTTCCAAATGCAAATCACAAACAAATAAAAGGGTCTGGAAGCGTATCAAATCTCCCTGAATGTGAAACAAATTGTAGCTATTCTAAGAAGGTAGCATCACTGTTAGAAATGCATGAGTTTCTAGTTGGGTACTCCTGGGACATAGATTCTTGTTTATTGAAAGAAATCCCTAACTGAATTCCAGAGCCCAGCCTAATCTGCAGCAACCTATGCAACATGGCACATGAACCAAGCAACTTCTAACAAGGCAGATTGCCTCTTTGGTAATCGTTGAGTTTTACCTTCACCGAACTCGTTTATGACCTTCCCCCATTTAAGAGGAAATCTTCATTTGTAATCACCTTTCTTTTCTGGAATCTCCTTGAGGAACAAGTTGGATGTTTTTCGGCTAGGAAATGGATCCTGGGATTGTTCTTGTGACTCAGAGTGCTGTTTGGAGGATTCTTCCAGAAATTCATCTGCAATAGATGGAGGTGCTGATCCTAAACATTAAATTTTAATAATAAGATAAAACAAACTTTGGTTACTAAAGGGTTGTTACAGAAAGTGCAATTAATTTTATAAACATAGGAAATATATTCTCTTAATGTTCCATGAGGGGCCAATGCTTTGGCAGACATGCTTATATTTCATCGTAATTTAAAGAGTTCAAGACCAAGCTTCTGTCGTGAAGGTTCCCAAGAGCAGTACTGCTGCTAGCCCAAGTCAAGATCACATGCAATAGATACCTATTAGAAAAGTGACTTGCTAAACCCAGAATCTCAAGATTGTAGAGGAGAAGATTAAAATATTGTTACATAACACTAGAGTTCCTAAAGGTCAAGGATTATATTCATCTTAGCTCAGTGTTCAGAAAAAAATGAAAAACCATCTAAATAGCTACATTTGAGGATGATAATAAATCAGGTATTGTGCAAAAAGACAATGTATAATCTAATGTATTTCTCAAAACATTGAGATATTATTATGATGTTGTTAAAAAAGTGAATCACAGAGAAGTTAATTTGCCCAAGCTCTTAAACATGTTGCTCAAATAAACCAGTGTTTGATGAATACAATAAAAGCAATGACAGGCAGGAAATAGATAAGTGCTATCTAACTCCAAATCAATAGGAGCCACGTTTTTAAAGTGAAATACTAGTTTGGAATTTTGGGCACAGCATTTACATAATTAACTATTGGTGACTGTCACTGAAAAGTGAGTAGTCACCTTTGTCTACATTCAGGCATTGATGACAAGTACGGTTCTGGCCACATACTGTAAGGACATAAGTCAACCACTGAAACATACATATCGTGACTATGTCAGCTAACATGGCTATGCAATGAACATTTAGACCTTAACACATGACTTTTATTCTGTGGACAGAAAAGGAAAAATACAGCAATTCATTTTATCCATTACATTTTATAAAACCAGACAATGAATTGATAAGTGATGCTTTGTTATAAAGACAGCAATTTAAATTAAAATATATTCGCATCCTATTCTTTTATCCTGTATATGGGTTTATTGGGCAAGACCTACTACTAGACTGCAGAAATCAATAATGATCATCATGCTTCAATTGCTTGAATCAGTAAAAATGTATATTGGAATTCATTTTTTTCTTATAAGCCTGTTTATGAGTTCCTATAAAAACTGCTCTCCCCCGCTCCTGCCCTTGAAGCACGGCTAGTCTTCTGCACAGGCCTAGTGACAGCACTTTGGCACACGTGTCATCAAGCACACACACAGCTCTCAGCGCCTCCACCAGCAATCCCGCTGCCAATAGGCAAGCAGCTCACCTAGCTCTCCTGTCCCTCATAGTGAGCACAGCCCCTGGCATAATTCCTTCCTAGGTTCAAGCTGGTAAACAGATCTGATGACTCCGCGTCAGAATCCTTCCCGCCCTCATCTTCCTCTTCATCATCTTCTGCTTCATACTTATGCGCATCCTCATCCTGGTAGCGGGGATCGCCATACGTGTTAGATGCGAGATTCTTCCAGTAGGCGTCATAGCCAGAAGCTTCGTACCCATCCTCACCTCCAGTCTGCCCGCCAAAAGGTTGAGATGCGAAGGTCTCTTGTCTCCTGAGTTTTGTGTCCACACCTGGGACAGGGAGGCTGCTTTCCTTTCTCTTGTTTAAACACCTTGCTCCGTGTATGTTCGTCACCGAAACATGCCTTATCACAAAGACAGGAATGCTGGCCAAGCCGAATGCAAGAAACACATTTAAATGTGTCTGCCTCTAGAACCTGGCAGCTTGCTTGATGTTCAAATTGATCATCTTCAAAGAGGAAGTTACGGCAAAAAAGAACAACGGAATATTCCGCCACCATGGTCCCACACGCCTCGCTCACACTGCACGCACTCGGCATCCGTCAGGGGACAGGCGCAGGCAGGAGTGCTGAGACACTTGCTTCCATGGCAAACCCAAGCTTCACAAGTCACGGACCGCGCCCGCCCTCGCGAGGCCAGCGCTGTAGACACCAGCACGCTTTATGACAGTCGGAAGACCTCATCGTACACTTGGTTTTCCCACACTGTGCACACTTTGGTAACTTCTGTACAGAATTACAAAAGTAGCAAAATGCTCTATTCTTCTGTCGCCTCTGACACTTGTCACATTCCTTGAAAAGGTTAGTCCTGAAATTGCTGCCTGCCCAAACCCAGTCTATCAAAGGTCCTCTTTCTTCTGAGGGCAATACTCCGTCGTGGGAAGCACGCAGCTCCCAGCGACTATGATCACTGAAGCATCACAGGGATGTTCAGCTAGATCAATGGTGCTTCGGGAGGCTCTTAGTAGTTGTTTTTCACGTCCCCGACAGTTCTCAGACTTCTTCCTCGCACCACTCTTTTTCTTAGGCATTTTCCGGTCTTCCCTGGGGGAAGGCTGGACTCGCTGCGGTGCTGAGGGGCAGGGAACCGTGCGGGACCAGGTGGCGGCCGCAGGAGACCCATGCAGGGACCCAGTCCTCTGGGGAACCCAGGGACGGACGCTCACAGAGCCCATGGCGGCCCTGGAGCGGGATCGGATTTCCTCCTACGTCATAGGCGAGCCAGTCTCCATTTAGGAGGAGATTTGACTCTATAGGTAAAAATTTGGGAAGCAGGGACATTCAAGGCTGGGTACATGTCACTAGTATAGGATAATATTTTTAAAGAGTTTAAGAATCACAAAATTGATTGTAGTCATGATTTTAAATCGACTGTGATAATGACTGTACTGTACAACTCTTCTAGATCGAACTGTTGAATTGTATGATATGCGGATGAAGTGCCAATAAAACTGTTAAAAATGACATAAAATTAAAGGAAAGGTAGGCTGGGATCAGACTGTATTTCAAATTGAATGTTGGAATTTTCCTCCTATAAACAAGAAGAGAAAGATAGGTATGCTGAGAAAATGTTGAGCAGAAGAATGAGACAATGAAAGCAATATTTTAGTAGAATTAACCTAGCAGTGCTGTGTATCAAGGAAAGAAGAAGCCATGGATGAGGCCAAGGAGTCTTTGAGAAGGCTATGATAGCAGTTTGGCTATTTGGAGAATAGTGGAAGTCTACAGGGAAGACACTGGGAGCATGCTGGTTTGGGAATCCACCTCATAGAAGAGGGAGGGAAAAGTCAGTAAAAAAAAGCAGCAGGGCAGGATGAGTCTGAGATCATGGGTTTGGGTGCCTAAATTAATGATGCAGAGTCAATTTGGGAGATGAGGAGTTGAACTGACTAATGGAAAATTACAGCCAGGAGGGACATTAGAGTTAAAGACAGAAAAATTGAGAGCTGTCAGCAGTGAAAATGGAAACTGAAGCTAAGTGAGTTCTTAGAAAGTAAAACTGGACTATAGGCAAGTAATTGCTTCTAGTGACTACGGCTAGCAGAGGAGCCAACAACGGAAATCACAGAGGTTGGAGTTGCAGGAACAATCTCATCTGGATTTCAGAAGGGACATAACAGGTACAAACTACAGTTACAGATTGTAACTGTTGAATAGAATAAAAATAGCAGTTAATAGAATAAAATCTTAGTAGAATAAAAATAGCAGGTATAGAGTAAACTGCTAACCTTAACAGAATTTTTAAAATTGACAATGACACAATAGACAAGGGGTTAATCTATAAAAACTGCAACACCTCAGTAAGAGAAAGAGCAGCAACACAACTAGGAAGTGGGCGAAGGACAGAGAGTTCAGCAAAGATGAGTGTCAATGGCCAGCAAACATATTAAGAAAAGTTCATGATCACTAGTTCTCTGGGAGATGCAAATCAAAACAACAATGAGATACCACCTTCTGCTGACATTAATGCCAGGTTAAAAAGCCAAAACAGAAAATAAGAAGTGTGGAGAGGCAGCCGAGATACCGAAACCCTCATATACTGCTGGTGAGATTGTACACATGTGCAACCACTGGGAAAGCAATACCATATGACCTAGCAATCCCTCTGCTGGGTATATACACCCTCAAGAAGGGTCATCCCACAAACAGGCATATGCACACCCATGTTTGGTACAGTTTTGTTCACAACAGCAAGAAACTGGAAACAACTTAAATGCCTGTGAATAGAAGAATGAAGAAAGAAACTGGTAGATGCCCACATTGGAGTATGCATTGCTTTAAAAAAATGATAAAACCAGGAATCACCTCATGGCATTTGAATGGATCTGGAGAACATTATGCTGAATGAAATTAACCAACCACAGAGGAACAAAGATTACATGAGATTATATATAAAGAGAAATAACAAAATCAAGACTTCCACGTAGAAAGGAACCGACTTTGGAGCTTGCTAAGAGGGCGGAAGCCAAGGAGTACAGGCAGACAAAGCATGGGTTAAACTGTTGCTGGGTGTCAGTGCACAAGAGAGAGCAGAGAAACCGGGGAGGAGGGGGTGAAGGCACACTTCTGAAGGGGTTGATTTAGTTTAAACTGTTGAACACAAAGTTGGTGATTTAAAATGTAAACCCCCACTTAGTTTAAGATAAAACATTGTTATTAAAAAGTTTACCTAGTACTCACCACCACAAAATACAAAATACTTCTCATACCTCACAAAGCACCTTCTGATATTGACAGTTAATGCCTCCACTCCTAACCTCTGCCAAACACTGATCTGCTTTCTTTCGATACAGATTAGTTTTGCCTTTTCTAGAATTTCATTAAAATGGAATCATAGAACATGCACTCTTTTTCTTCTGGTTTATTTATTAGCATAATACTTTGAGATTCATTCATGTTGCTGGATATACTAGTACTCCATTTTTCATGCAGACTGGGGTGAATATATGAAAATATGTTATACCTACACTTACTGATGGACACTTGGGTTGTTTCTACTTTTTGCCCTGTAAATAAAGTTGCCAAGAACATTTGTGTACAAATATTTGTGGAAAATATGCTTTCATTCCTGTTGGATACATAATTAGCAGTGAAATGAAATAAAAACTGTCCAATTGTTTTTAAAAAGTGATAAATCATTTTGCATTTCCCCCAGCAATATGTGAGCACTCCAGTAACTCCATATCCTTGACATAACTTATTATCAATCCTCTTTAATTTTAGCTATTCTAGGGGTAGATTCCACCATCTATCAGTTTGCCATCCTGTGGTGGTTTGTGTGTCACCATGGTGCTGGAGGCTATGCCACTGATATTGCAAATGCCAGCAGGGTCATATAAAGTGGATGGGGTTCAGTGGGGCTTCTGAAAGCAGCCAATGAATGCCCCAGAATTTCATCCAGGATAGTGCTGGAAGATGAACCCCCTAGCCTGAAAGGCACTCAAAATAGACAATCTCAATGGACTTGAGCATATCAACAATCGTGACAATGGCACAGTGGTAGATGACATTAATTTTCTGACCTGAGACAACCTTACTTGTGTAGGATATATTATCTTCTATATATGTTACTGGAATCTATGGACCAATATCTTGTTAAGAATTTTTGTGTGTCAGTTCATGAAAGTTATTGCACTCTTATTAGATGACTTGGTCTGGTTTGGGCCCATAGGTAGCACAGTACACATGTAGAAGCAGGGCAGCTAACTCAGGTAAGCACACTAGTCTGACCACCAGGAAGAAAGAGGAAGGGGCCTTGGTTGTGCCTCCAAAAGAGGTCACCACGGGGAGGCAGGGGTAAAATGAGGACCTAATACCGGGGGTTTAAGTGGAGAGAAAATGTTTTGAGAATGATGAGGGCAATGAATGTACAAATGCGCTTTACACAATTGATGCATGTATGGATTGTGATAAGAGTTGTATGAGCCCCTAATAAAACGATTAAAAAAAAAAAGGGACACCAAGCTGCGACCTGATTGACAGGCTAAACTCCATCCATATGTTCCTACAGGTGCCATGTTGGCACAAAAAAACTAACCATCACACCCCTCTTCCTCTAATTGCTGAGTGTGTGGTAGGGTTGTTATTAGTTCTTAGATGTGTGGGACTTTGCCAGTGAAGTCTTTGTGGTCTGGAGTTTTCTTTGTAAGAAGGTATTTGATTTCACATTTAACTGCCTCAGTAGATTCTTTCTGAGTATGCATGGCCAAATCTGCTGCACAAGAGTATCTCTAAAGTGTTAAAAAGCAAAGATGTTGGGGACAAATGGGGAACCGATAACAATAATCAACACATACCGCCCCCCCAACCCAGGGGGACGAACGACAGAAACATGGGTGAAAGGAAACAGCAGCAGGTGTAAGATATGAAAATAATCATTTCTAATTTATCAGGGGTCCATGAAATTTGGAGGATGGGAGATGGAGGGAAAAATGAGGAGCTGATACTAAGGGCTGAAGCAGAAAGAAAATGCTTTGAAAATTATGATGGCAACATATGTACAAATGTGTTTGATACAACTGCTGTATGGATTGTTATAAGAGCTGTAAGAGCCCCAGTAAAATAATTTATTTTATAAAAAAGCAAAGATGTCATTTTGAGGACTAAGATATGCCTGAACCAATTATATTGTCATATAATTCACATACCATATAATTCAATAGTTCAATCACATAAAGAAGAGTTGCACAATCACCACGACAATCAATTTTAGAACATTTTCTCCTTTCTTACAGTTATTGTTGTTAGCTCTCCATTTTCCCCCAACATCTCCTCCCATGTCCCTAGGTAATTTTTAATCCAGTTACTGTCTCTGTAGGTGTACCTGTCTTGAATATTATAAATAGAAAAACATACAAAACAAAAACAAACCAGCAATGACAAAATAAAACAGAAACACCTCAATCCAAAAGAAAGCAGAAAATATTAAAAATGGAACAAATTTTTAAAGGGTCAAAAGGACACAAATTGATAAGAAGTTAAATTTAAACCTAACGACATTTACCACAAATGACTTTACATTGCTGTCTGATAGCAAGGCTATTCACATCCCTTACCTATGGTCAGAGGGCGGTCACTGAAGGTTTGATCCACATGGGGACTCTTCAAATGTATATTTGGCTTATACTGTTATCCATAGCCTTCTGGGAACTGGGTGTTCAGAATTTAAGCTATGATACCATTCTCTCCTCCTGATTTGGATTTTATTATTTATAATTATAAGATCACACAGCAAGTCAATACTGTGGAAACTCTGTGTAGACTTAGCTGATGCCTTAGATGGCTGCTTGTTTGAAGACAAGCATTTAAGACCCCACACACTATTCATTCTGATAGCTGGCACCATCTGATTTCTCTTCTTTTTCTCTTTTTTTCAAACAGGTTTATTGGCACTTCATCCATATAGCATACAATTCAATAGTTCAACCTTATCAAAAAGAGTTGTACAATCTTTACCACAATCAAATTTCAGTACATTTTATTTCCCCCCCCCATTCATTGCTATTCATGTATATTTTTTCAATTTTGGCAAATATATATATAACTAAACATTTACCAATTCAACAATTCTACATGTATAATTCAGTACCACTGATTATACTCTTCGTATTGTGCAACCATTACTGTTATCCCTCTCCAACTTGTTCCACCACCGTTAAAATGAACTCAATACCCTCTAAGCAAAAACTCTTCCTCTTTCAACCATGGTAGCCATAAGTCAAGTTTGGGGTTTTTTTAGTGTTTTTTTAATATAATATTCACATATCATACACTTTAATAGTTAAACAGTTTCTAAAAAGAAGTGTGTATACATCATCTTACCTGATTTCTTCACCGCACTTTGCTATAGCACCCCTATCTTCAGTGATTTCTCCATCAAGGCAAGTATGAGTAGGGTCATAAGAACTAATTGTTCTTAGATTAGGATTACAACTAAGTGTGAGCCTAAAATCCATTACTATATCTATGGCTTATATATGTCCCTGGCTTATTTTAGAAACATCATTATCATTTTAATGGAGAACATTATAAGTCATCCCCTTGGGGTATAAGGTAGTTTCATAGCGTAAGATAGCATCATGAGTTTAGTCAGTGGGACAGAATTTAAAGTACTGTTTGGAAAAGGGATCTATACCAGTATAGGCCAGGTTTTTAGATGGCAATACATGAATTGTTGACTTGAACCTGCTGAAAGCTTACCAGCTGGACACTATTTACATAAACAGTGAAGGTTGAGGATAGGAAACAATTTTCAACAGCAATCATTCACAAAGGCAGAACCATGCCATACGTCAGGGAAAAAAAGCAAAGAGAGCATGAAAATAGAAAATACATGGTAGTCCCGGACCACCATACAGTGGGTACCCTTCAAAGGAAGAGATCTGAACTAAGGCCAAGAATCACCAATTCCAAACCATGGAATTTTCAGTTGCCTCAGATGCATATGAAAGTGGGATAACAAATAAGAAAGATCCAATAAGAATTGATATCGTTGGATTATGGCACTAGTGAAGAGTATTGAATACATCTTACGACTGTAAAAATGAACGAATCTGTTTTGAGAGAAGTACAACCAGAATGTTGCGTAGAAGCAAAGATGGCCAAGCTTTGCCTCACAAACCCTGGACATGTCATTGGAGGGCCTTGTCTCTGGAGCAGGACATGATACTTGGTACAGTAGGAGAAGAGGGCAGTGAAAAGAGGAAGGGCCTCCAGGAGACGGACTGACCGGGGCTGCAACAATGGGCTCCAACACAATAATAATGGCGCGGACGGTGCAGGACCCGGTGGGCGTTCCTCTGTTGCAGGGTCAGTATGAGTTGGAACGGACGTGATGGAACGTAACAACTAGTATGCGTCAGATCCTATTCATAAAGCCAGCAGCTTCCCCAATTGTCATCCATCTCCTTGACCTGACCTGGTGGGGCATCCACTTTAAGTGCTGTTCCAGAAGAACCGCTGGTGTTTCCCGCGGGGTCTAAACTGGACTCCTTCTGCCCGTCCTCGGGGTTCTCTAGGACAGCGCTTCTCTGCTTCATTCCTCGAGTCTGAAGCTGCTTGAAGGCTTCGTGAAATGCCATTTCCATTCGAATGTCATTGTTTTGAATTTCATAGTACAAACCTGAAGAAAGATGCTGTAGTAAATGTGACTTATTCTCTACCATCACATATAGGAGAATTACAACATTTCACTGGGGTTTTTCCCCTCAAATTTTACCCAAGTTCAAGAACGACATGAATCATTAGAGAACAGAAAGAGAAAAAGAATGTATTCAGATCACAGGAAAACACCATACCCAGTAAAGTCCACGCCACAACACTGGTTGGTTCCAAGCAAGTAGCATCCTCAAAGAAAATTTCTGCCTGCTCGTAGTTCTCCATCAGGACAGCCAGCACACCGCAGAGTAGCAAGCTGCGGGGAGACCATCGAGGTCAACAACATGGTTCCATGTCAGGCACAGAACAGAGACAACTTCTTGTTGAAACATCTGTTTCTACTCATTCTCCATCTCCTTTTCCCCCCTACCTGTGGATATGATTCTGGTTGAGGGAAAGGGCTTTCCGAAAACACTCCTGTGCTTTGCTATTGTCTTCAATTAGGAGGCAGAAGGCACCATAGTCCAACCAGTGCTCTAAGTTCTGGGGCTCACGGACCAACCTCTAGACACAGGAAGCATCAGGATGGCTAAGATTATTATACCATATATTAAATATTGTATATTACATCGCTACATTATTTTATATTATATATATTTATAATATAGTACAGTAAGCATTTAATAAATACTATAAACTTTATGAAGGCAGAGAATCTATGACTTCGTTTTCGCTTACCATTGAATCCCAAATGTATGTCTAGTACAGTCAGTATTCTGGCATATGGTAGATGCCAAAAAAATATTTGGTCATTTAAAAATTGAGTATGTACCGGGAGGGTGGAGGGAAGGTGGGGTAGAAAGAGGGAACCGATTACAAGGATCTACATACAACCTCCTCACTGGAGGATGGACAACAGTAAAGTGGGTGAAGGAAGATGTCGGGCAGTGTAAGATATGAAAAAAATTTTTTTAATAAATTATCAAGGCTTCATGAAGGAGGTGGGAGCGGGGAGGGAAAAAATGAAAAATGGGGAGCTGATTCCAAGAGCCCAAGTGGAAGTCAAATGTTTGAGAAGGCAACGAATGTACAAGTGTGCTTCACACAATTGCCGTATGTATGGATTGTGATAAGAGTGGTGTGAGCCCCCAATAAAATGATTTAAAAATATAAATAAAAATTGAGTATCAAGTTATTTCTTCTTTATGTTAGTTTTCTGACCACCCAAAGCTCATCTAATATTTTAAGAGTCTATAGATTAATTTCATATAAATGGATATAAAATGTATATCATAATCTTAAGATGGCAAATATACGGTTATCTACAAATCAGGTGTTTCAAAGTTCCTCCTAATCAATGAAAAAATTTCCCAGATTTTGCTCACATTTGTTATACATGGAATTAAGCAATTTATCAAAATGAAATTTTATTGTGTTAAGAGATACACACACATCAATCAGTGATAATTTTAAGTATATTATATTCACCATTTTGTTCAATCCATCACAAATGTTTTTCTTCAACCTAATCAGAAATTCAGTACTCTTAAGCAATAACTACCCATTTTTCCTCCACCCAATCTGAAAACCACTAATAAAGTTTGTCTGTATGATTTGCCTATTTTAGATATTTTACATGTGGGATCATATAATATTTTCCTTTTCAGTTTGATTAATTTCATGGATCCTACTGTTTCATCTATGTCATAGCATCTATCAGAATTTCATTGTTATGGCTAATCTTCTATTGTACAGTGTTATGGACTGAAGTGTGTCCCCCAAAATGTGTCAACTTGGCTAGGCCATGACTCTCCGTATTACATGACTATCCTCCATTTTGTGATCGGATGCAATTTGTGATCTGATATAATTACTCTGTGTTGTGAATCCTAATGAGTTAATGTTAATCTATGATGTTAACTTGGGTTTTTTTTGTCTTTTGGTTATTGTGAATAATGCTGCAACGAATGAGGTTTTATAAAAAGACTCTAATTATTTATTTATATAGAGTAACACTGTGAACTCACTGTATTTTAAGTATTCCTCTGTTAAATTAAACTCTGGAACATATTTTCCTCTAAAAAAATATGCTCAGCCTCATTAATCATGAAGGAAATACAAATCAAACCCACAATAAGAAACCAGTTCATGCATACTAGAATAATTTTAGAGTATTTTTGAAAAGAGAAAACCAATTTTGGAGGGGATAGAGAACACACTTCCCACATTGTGGTAGGACTGTCCAATGGTGCTGTCACTTTGGAATAGAGTTAACAGAAACTAAAAATACCAAGCCTATTACCACTGAGTTGATTTTGGTCCAAAGTGACCCTATCCAGGGCTCTGAGACTTTCCATCTTTACTGAAGCAGACAGTCTCATCCTTCTCCCAAAGAGCAGTTGGTGGGTGTAATAGGTTTTTTGTGTGTTAACATGGCACCTGTAGGAGGATATGGGTGGAGTTTAGCCTGTCAATCAGGTCATAGCTTGATGACCTCCTTTGGAGGTGCCACCAAGATATATGGCTCTCTGGAGGCAGGTTTCTCTGTCTCTCAGCCTTTACCTTCCTGTTGATGAGCCACTCCAAGCCTCGCATGGGCCCAGTGATGCAGCAACCAGCATTCAACCCACACAACTCTGTCCCCACCGCCTTGTGGTCTTCCTGCACTCTGCATCATGGCATGTGGCTGCATGAGTCTGGAGAGAGACTTATGGACTAGAATCAGATTATGGATTTGAGTTGGACTGGGCTGCGATGTTTTCTTCATATACAACTACTTCTTGATATAAAGCTTTTTCTTACACATATATGAGTGTCAGTGGATTTGTTTCTCTAGTCAACTTGGCCTAAGAGTGAGTTTCAACCACCAATCTTGAGTTTAGCATCTCATGTTTAACCCACTGCACCACCAAGACTCCTTTTAGAATTATCAAATAACTAAACAATTCCATTCCTAATCACTTACCCAAGAGAAATGAAATCGTACATCTACACCAAAATGTGTAAACTTTATATATATCAATTTTCATAGCATTATCATTCATAATACTAAAAAAGTAGAGACAAACCAAGTATCCATCATCAGATGAACAGATAAACAAAATGCGGCATACCCATACAATATAATGCTAAAAGCTCACTGCCATCGAGTGGATGCTGCCTCATAGCGACCCTATATGACAGGGTAGAACTGCCCTGTGAGTTTCCAAGACTATTTATGAGGCTAGTGGTTTTGAACTGCTGACCTTTCAGATCGCAACCCAACTCTAACCACTACAAAACTAGGGCTCCTTTAAAAGCTAATATTATTTAGTCATAAAAAGGAATGAAGCACTGCTTTCCGGCTTTCAGCTCCAAAGCAGCGTTGGTGTGACCCACTCAGGTGTTTAACAGCTGGGACCATCTGACACTAGCCGGCTCTGCTAGTGCAGCCCCAAAGAAATCAGAGTCAGTACTTAAAGTAAGGTGCATCAGTGGGGAAGTTAGTGTCACGTTGTACTGGCCCCAAGATCAGCGCCCAGGGTTAGTCTCTAAAAAAGGTTGGTGATGACGTTGCTAAAGCAACCACTGACCAAAAGGTTACCATGAAACGGACCAATCACAACTGGCAGGCCTGGATTGAGATGGTACATTCTGCCCCTGTTTTGATCATCAAAGCCCTCGAGTACATGCCCAGGGGCAGAAAGAAGCAGAAACACATTAAGCACAGTGAGAGCCTTATGTTTGATGACACTGTTGGCATTGCCCTCAGATGTAACACAGCTCTCTAGCCAGAGGACTCTCTGGAATTATGACTTCCCCAGTCTGTGGGCTGCAATGTTTATAGTCGCCATCCTTACGACCTCTTCGGTGACATCATCGATGGCGCTGAGGAATGCTCAACACCAAAAGGAAAATATTCAATAAAGGCTCTTTGATGGCCAGTGGTGGCATGCCAAAATATAGATGAACCTCTAAAACATTAAATTAAGACACCAGATACAAAAGGAAAGGCCAAATTTATGAACCCATTTATAGGAAATGTCTAGAGGAGGCAAATCTATGGATACAGAGGGTAGATTAGTGGTTGTCTAGGGCAAAGCAAGGGAGGGGAAATGGGGAGTGACTATTAACATGTACAGAATTTTTTTGGGGGGGAAACTGATGAAATGCTCTGAAATTCTATTGTGGTAATGCCTGCACAACTCGGTAAACATACTAAACCCTTTGTATGTTAAATATGGCACATGAATTGTATCAATGAAGCTGCTAAAAAATTACGAATGGAGACAAAGTACTCAGATGGTCCTTCCTGGGGGTTTAGTTAGCCCATGAAGCATGTATGTGATAGGCAGGACTAACAGAAATAGAGAACCCAATTGTCATTCATAATACATTATGTGTTAGTGCAGGGGTTTTTTAATTAAAAAATTTAAATAAACTTTTTTCTTTTGGTGTATAGTTCTATGAACATACCTATACTATTAACATATATTTTTGCTGCCACCACTACAATCAATATGTTGAACAATTCCATCAGCTGAAAAAATATTCCCTTGTACTTGCCCTTTATAGTTATCTCCTCCCCCTACCAATAATCCCTGACAACCACTAGCCTGTTCACCATTAGTTTGTGGGGGTGGGGTATGTGTGTTATACAATGGAATCTTAATGTATGTATATTAAACATTTTGACATTAGCTTCCTTCATTCAGCAAAAATAAGACTTCAAGTATTTTTTCATTTAAGGTATAAAGATGATCTCAGGTTAATAATTTCAGGGGTCCATTTAACATTCATGACTCCGGGAAAGGCGAAGTCCATGAAAATGTTGGACTTTGTTCTGCTTTTTCCCTCTTTTGATAAGAACTCTTCTATGGAATCTTCTCTCCAAGTGCTCAGTAATGGTAGCCAGCCACCATCCAGTTTTTCTGATCTCATAAGGAAGCAGTTGTTCATGGACGCGATTAGCCACACATTGCGTACCCTTCTCCTATTCCCGACTCTCCGTTAGTTGTTCCAGATGAATAGACATTGCTGCTCCTTGAACGGCAGCTTGTAAGCTTTAAGATCATGGCACTAGAGTAGAAGTACTAATCATGTTTTCAGGCCAATTACTTGTTCACATTTTTACCTGGGTTGTGTGTTTTCTTATTGAATTTTGAGAGACCATCTAGTTATAAATCCTTTGGAATATACATATATATAGATATGACAGGCACATATTTTCCAAGCTTGTAGCTATTCTTTTCTTGCTCCTGACAGTATCTTTACATGAACAGAAGTCTTTAATTTTTATGAAGACCCATTCATTAAATTTTCCTAATGATGTTGGTGTCATACCTAAGAATTCCCCACCTACCCTCAAGTCAAAAAGATTTTTTTCCTGTTTTCTTCTAAAAACTTTCATAGTTTGATATTTCAGATCTATGATTTTGATATGAGGTTTAGGTTAACTTTTTTAATAGAGATGACAATTATTCTAACACCATTCATCAAGAAGATTACCTTTTCTTCTTTGAATTTCTTTCACGTGTTTATCAAATATCAAATGGCCATATTTGTGTGGGCCTATTACTGGAATACACTATTTCACCAATTCAAACTGTGAAAAAACTACTACTTGTTATACACATTGTTGTACAAATAAGGATCGTAACAATCACTGGAAAGATGTTTAATTACCTCTTCATAATACACTGCTGCCATTTCAAAATTCTCGTTGACTTCTGCTTCAAATGCAAAGAGTCGGAGCTGTGCGCTGGTTGTGTGAATGGTTGGGCTGGCACCCTGGCTATCGTCCGGCATGACCTTGTCAACATTGATGATGTTAGACAGATAGAAGCAATTACAAATAAAAAGTCCTTATAAAAATACACTGAATATGAGATTACAGTCAAGGGGTCTTAAAATTATGTTTATGTTCCTTATGGACTTGCCAATACATTAAGAGAATACAAGTTAACCAAGAGTGAAATACTAAGGTTGAGAGAGGTTGTCAAGCTGTCTGAGCCCATGAAAAACAATAAAAATTACTTAGGGATGAACTTACTCTCCTCAACCTGCAGGACAGTTGGATTTGTCAGGCAGGTCGCTACTTTCATTGTCTCCGGGTAGATAACAAAAATATCATTTGCTCTGCGCCATAGCATTAAAAAGGGTGGCAAGCACTGTCTAGGTTCTTCAAACATCAAGAGAACACGAGAGTAAGACTAATATTACGGAAGCCAGATCTACCTCTAAGTGGGATACAGACTAATAGACTTACAAAGGAGACATTTCATACCTAGAAAGGTAAAAGAAAAATCAGGAATGGGGGTGGGGGGGGCACAAAACTACCCTGTACAGAAAAAAAAACTACCCTGTACAAAAAAAAAACTACCCTGTACAACCAGGTGGGAAAGTATGTCTGATGGCCTTAGTAATCTCCTGGGTCAGACGTTATGGTCAAAGTCCTTCAATCAGAAGTAAACATAGTTTCGATTACTTTAACAAATACAATTACTAAGGAATGTGGGAAAACCAAATTTGAAATGGGCCAAAGAGAGCTTCTGATCACTGATGAATGCCTGTTTTTTAGACTCAATGATCTTGATTTCTAAATCCCTTCAACACCATATTTCTATGCCCCAAACAGAAATCCTGTATCTCCAATCCCACTACCAGAACTCACATTCCAAGTGTTCACCATTTTGTCCTTTGCGCCTGTCGAATTGGCTCCAATTCATCACAACCTTACATACAATAGAACGAAACGATGACCAGCCTGGTGCTACCTTCTTAACTGTTGACCCCCAAAGCCGCTGGCTTCACTGAAACTTGTCTGGACCCTCTCACATGCCTCACCCAGTGCCGCCCTCAAGTCCCAGGCACTCCTACCCTCTTTACTAGAGAACCCCCAATTAAAACAATTTTATAATCCGACTCTTCATGAGCTGTTAACTGGCCCCGACAAACACGGTACATACACAGGGCGAGCTGAGCTTCTACAGACTCTTCTGGCGCTCAATCTGAGGTGAAGGCCTATTTAATTGCCTTTGTTCAGCCACAGACGTGTATTCTATTTTTCTGTGCCTCTAACGTTTCTTTCTCATCAAGCCTTTCCTTCAACCCTTCACTTTCAACAATGATTTTACTTCACAGAGGAAACAGAAATCATTGGTTAAGATGTCCTTCAAATGTTTAACCCTACTGAAGTTATTTATTTCTATATCTATTGTATCTCTTTCCTTTTGGTCTCAAGTGGAAGTGGCTCAATGAAATGACCATGGAAAGATTTAATAAGAGCCTCCTGATGCCCAATCCAACTGAAACTTCTAATTTAGCTTTCCTTAAACTCCTGTCAGTATTTGACAAAGTTGACCAATTTTTCTTATTAAAATTCTCTTAACTTTACTATGACACCAGTCTTCTGCTTCTTTCTCCTCTTAAACAATCTATCTTCTTCATCAATGCTTTTTCCAATCTATCCACTAAGGGCTGGCGTGTCATACACAGGGTTCCACTGTAAGCTCTCTTCTCTCTTTCCACATGTCTTTCTTGGGCAGCAGCATCTATTAGCATAATTTTAACCATGTATATATGTGCTCATGGTTCCCAAATCTCATCTCCAGGTCAGACCTCCCTTGAGATCATTCCCTTGAGCAAGACCCCACTGGAGTCAATGTTCAAAATTGAATTCAGCATCATTTTCCTCCCTGGAAATCTACCCATGCTGTATTCCTTATCTTAGTTAATGATAATATCAGTCATCAAGCTATAAACTGAAGAATCTTTGACTTTTCTTCTTCCTTACTCTGCAATAACGGTAAACATCACCCCCTTTCAGCTCATCCTCCATAATGCTATCCGAAATTTCTAATTTTGGATAACAGTATCATACTCTACCCAGTTTAAAATAATTAAACGTATTGCTCCCTCTCACTTACAAGGAACAAGTCAGAATCTATTTGTAGGACATACGAGGCCCACAGTGTTACACGCTCTCAGCTCTCCCAGCAGTAATTGATCCCTGCTCCACCTCCTGCTTCTCTGCACCAACCTCAACATGTGAACGATGTTCAGTTTCTGTATATGCCATATTTTCCCAAGCACCTGACATGAGGGATGTTGTCTGCCATTTAAATGCTCTGATGCACCCATCTATAAAACGCCTTTCAACATTCAAGGGTTCAGCCCGGTACGGCTCCTCTGTGAATGTTTCCCGGAAAGGTTGCTGGGTAGAGTGTGGTCACTTTTTCCTTTAGGCATTCTCTAACCTGTAGACACACCTGAATCACAGCACATACTTCACTGCACTGTAGTGCTTTGTATTTTGTGCCTGTATCCTCTACTAAACAGGGACTCCTGAGGAGCATAAAAAGGAAAGAAAAGAAATAAAAAAAACACTACCAAAGAGTCATTTCTGACAGTAACACTCTATAGGGTTTCTGAGTCTATAAATCTTTACTATAAATCATCTTTCTCGAGCTGTGCCACCAGAAAGCAGCAGTCATTGCCACTGTACATGCAGAACTCTCAACTGCTGGTCAATGTCACAGACACTTTGACTGACCTCTTCCAGGAAGGCCAAATAAGGTAAAAAAAAAAAAAAAGAAGCGAAGATGGTAAAACGGGAAAAAAGCACATTAAATATCATTCTCAGTTAAGTATCAGATCTGATTCACAAGAGAAAGAGATCGTTTTTGTTTCATAATTTACATATCCTATGAAGGTTGTGAAGCATCTTTCCCTTGGAAGGTGAACAAGTATGCCCCCTTATTCTTCCCTGAATGCGTCTTACACCGCAGATGGTATTTTAGTCACCCTTGTGTTGTTGGTGCTGACTCAACAACAGACTTCTCAATAAGTGTTGTGGAATGAAAAACAAAAGAAGCAAGGACTAGCCCAGAGGCGGCCCTGATGCTTTATGGGTAAAAGGAAAGGTTCTCAGTTCTTGGGGTCGTACCTGGTTTAGGGCCACATGCATCTGGTCCACCAAGAACACATACAGCTCACTGATAAATGCCTGCAGTTCCTCTTGGCTTTCAAATGCTGCTGTCTTTAAGTACTTCTCTCTCACAATCTTTACCACAGCATGCTGCAGAAACACAGAGCACCCACAGTCAAGCACAGAGTAACTTGGACATGATCTAAGACTCTCTGGGAATTCAGAAGGTGACTAATTTCCCCCCTCTTTGTGGTTGTTAGCCTACTGGCTCTCAGGTTTTCTCCCTATCAGCATGCTCTTTCTGACACCTATTTCCTCGATTTCACCATGGTTACTGATAGGGACAAGGTGGGACCTGTGCTGTGAGGAAAACCTTAGCGTTAAGTCCATGCATTTTCTCTCAGGATGGCCACACACTTCATGGGACAAAGCCTGGTCTGAGAGCTCAGAGAACAGAGTTCCAGCTCTAGACCCTGCTACTCTAGAACCTCATAAATTAATCTCCACTTTAGTACCTTGGTTTCCTCATTTGTTGAATGGATACATAGTTTTTGGTGACTGAGAAACCGAAAAAGTGGAAAAGCTTAAAATGCTGTCCAAATATAGACATCGTTTGTCAGATAGCTTCTTTAATCACCCCCCCCATGCAAACATGGTTGCCAGATTTTGGACTAAGCATTTTCCATGCTCTATATCATTTAATTCTCATGATGACTCCATGCAATATGATGATTCCTACTTGATATGCATGAAAATTGCGGCTCAGAAAGGTAAAGTCACTTGCCCAGGGTCACCCAGCTAGTAAAGATAAGACCAGAAAACCAACTGAGATCTGTTTATCTCATTTACTGGGAGTAGCACCTCCACAAGCACCTGGATTGCTTTTTGTATTTTAGAGTCCCACGTGCTGCCTTTGTACCTGTGTAGTACAGCACAAGTGAAGGTACACAACAGATAGGCCAGTGGTTCTCAACCTTCCTAATGGCGAGACCCTTTAATACAGTTCCTCATGTTGTGGTGACCCCCAACCATAAAATTATTTTCGTTACTTCATAACTGTAATTTTGCTACTGTTATGAATTGTCATGTAAATATCTGATATACAGGATGCATTTTCATTGTTACAAATTGATCATAATTAAAGCATAGAGATTAATCACAAAAAAGATGTAATTGTATATTGTGAAATAGTTACTTCTAATTACAAATAAATGAAATTTTTTCTTAAAGCATGGTGTACCATGGATAACAGTCTTAATATAACAACAGTAAACTACATTGCTACATTTTGTGACAGTATGCATAAAAAGTCTGTTAGTGTGAAGGTTGAGATAGCTTCTTTCTCACCAGATCAGAAATTTTCAGGGCTGTCTTTGCAAGAGCACAACAAAGATCATCTTCCACAAGTCTACTGCTGTATTTAGACTTGATAACCAACAAGCTGGAAAACCCTGTTGCACAAAGATATGTTGTTGGAAATGGAAGAAGGTGCAGCACAGGCTCAGACAGAACAGGCTATGACTGCAAACCCTTGATCCAGAATTTTGTAACTGGCATTGAAATCAGTTCTCGTTGCATCGCTGTTAATAAGTTCAATGAACTCCTCTTGTGCTGTCTCAGGAACATCTTCAACTTTGACTGTGAAGGGGCTTCTGGCAAGTGCTAATGGGGTGTCAGCTGGATTTGGAAAACATGATGGAATTTCATCTGCAAGCATGTGCAAGTGCTCTTTCACAGAAATTATCACTGTGATCCTTTTATCTGGTTCAATGTCATGTTCCTCAAAGAAAGCAGATAAGGTAGGCAATATGTAAATTTTATTTTATTTTTTCTTTTGTGTGTATAAGAAAGAGCTTTATATAAGAGTAATTATACATTAAGAAAACATACGAGCCCAGTCCAGTTCAAGTCTGTAAGTCCAATATTAGGCCATATGTCTGATACCAATCTGTAAATTCCTCTTCAGACTCACACAACACATGCAATGATGGAGAATGCAGGAAGATCACAGGCCAGTGGGTGGGAAGTCTTGTGGATCCAGTGGTGGTTGAATCATCTCAGCACTGCTGTGGGTCTTAATGTAGCTCCTCTAGCTCCAGGGTTCTGGCTCCATCAGCATAGCTCCATGTGGCTTGTCATCAGGTACACAAAGCAGAGTGTGGGTCTGACCTCTAGTGAGCTATTTGTCTCCATAGTGCCTCCAAATGAAGTCCTCAAGCTGCAACCTGATTGACAGGCTCAACTCCACCCATTTGCCACTTGACAGGAGATTATGTAACTGCAACAATCTCACTGCCATCCAGTAAATCTTTTTTTTCTCTCTTATTTTTATTGGGGGCTCTTACATCTCTTATCACAATCCATACATTCATCAATCCATACATGCAAGTGTGTCAAGCACATTTGCACATAGACTGTCATCATCATTTTGAAAGCATTCTCTTCCCACTTGAGCCCAATATCAGCTCCCCCCATTTCTTGCCCCTCCCTCCCCCACCCGCCCTCCCTCACAAACACTTGATAAGTTATAGATTATTATTTTCATATCTTACATCATCCTCCATTGCCCTTCACCCCCTTTTCCGTTATACATCCCCCTGGGAGGGGATTATAGGTTTATCCTTGTGATAGATTCCTCCTTTCCCACTCCCCCCTCCTAATCTTCCTGGTATCACAACTCTCATTGTTGGCCCTGAGGGGTTTATCTATCCTGGATTCCCTGTGTTGTGGACTCTTATCTGTAGCAGTGTGCATGCTCTGGTCTAATCCAATTTGTAAGGTAGAATTGAGGTAGTGATAGTGGGGGGAAGGAAGCAGCAAAGAACTAGAGGAAAGTTGTTGCTTCATCAGTGCTATACTGCACCCTGACTGGCTCATCTCTTCCCTGTGACACCTCTGAGAGGAAATGTCCAGTTGTCTACAGATGGGCATTGAGTCTCCACTCCATGCCACCCCCACCCCCACCCACATTGGGTATGATTGTGTTCTGGGTCTTAGATGCCTGATACTTGATCCCATCGACACCTCATGATCACACAGACTGGTGTGGTTCTTCCATGTGGGCTTTGTTGTTTCTCAGCTAGATGGCCGTTTGTTTATCTTCAAGCCTTTAAGATCCCAGATGCTATATCTTTTGATAGCCAGGCACTATCAGCTTTCTTCACCACATTTATTTATGCAGCCATGTTGTCTTCAGCAATCGTGTTGGGAAGGTGAGCATCACAGAATGCCAGATTGTTAGAATAAAGTGTTCTTGTGTTGAGGGAGTACTTGAGTTGAGGTTGAATGTCCATTTGCAACCTTAATTCTTAACATATAGATATAAGTACATAGTTCTATTTCCCTCTCGTTATGTACATACTTACATATGTACATGCCTGTATTTAGACCTCTGTAAATGTCCTTTGCCTCCTGGTTCTTTCCTCTATTTCCTTTTACTTTCCTCTTGTTCCATCATCATGTGTGGCCTTCATTCGGGTTTAGTAATTCCTTGCTGCTACATTACCCTTAAGTCCTACTAGGCATCCTATGCCCTTCTTTCCATTGATTTTCTTTTTTTTTCTTTCCATTGATTTTCATTCACTTGTTGTTCCCTTGTTCCTGGGCTGGTTTCACCCCCCTCCCCTTTCCTTTCTCCCACCTCCCCTTCTCCCGTACCCCACCCACCTGGAAACATTGGTCCCGTTCTTTTCATCTCCGAATTATCTATCCCACTTATCTTATCTAGACAGACATGCAGATACATTACTAAGTGCAAAAAACAGGAAAAGCCAAATAAAACAACAAAGGAAGTAAAAACCAACAAAACGATAACAACCAAAACAAAAACAAAATAACAATAACAGAAAGAAAGCCACAGACAAAAATGGAAAAGCCTATATAATTCAAGATCTGTTTCTTTGCGAGTCTTTTCCAGTCAAATGAGATGGGGTGCCACACTCTGTCTCCAAAGTCTATTTTTGGTGTTCGCTGGGGATTTCATCCCTTTGCTCCCCTTGCTGCTCTGCTGCAAGTGTTCCGCCCAGCGTGTTCACCCTTAGTGTTTCCATGCAGCGTGATGGGTCAGATTGCACTATTTCTGAGCTGTGTCTCCAGTGTTGCCCCCACAGCACTAAGGTTTAATGAGGGATGTTGTATCTCATAGTGGGGCTGGCCCTATAGTCCTCTCTGTGTGTTGTTTGCTCTGAGCAGGAATATCGTCCTCGGGGCTTGTTGGGCCAGGATGTCCTCTCCTCCCTCTCCATCCCGCTTCATTTCTCCTGTGTGCTCTAATCTGACACGTCCCTCTCCCCAAACTGTAGACCCAATGCTGTCCTCTGAAGTGCATTCTTCTGCGGGGGTGGTGTCCAAATATTTGGGTTTGGGTCTGGCCCCATAAATTTTTTTTTACCCCCTCCCCCATAAATTTTATCTTCATCCAATTTTTTTTGTCAAAGTTGAAGTTTCAATTGGAAAGATTGGTTCTTTTCAGACTAATCAAGGCATGTTGCCTTTGGTCATTGCAGTGATGAATTTAACTTTGCCATTCAAGATGGCAAAGATGTCAACCAAGTAAGCTATTCTCTGCAGTTCACTTTTATCGCTGAAAAGTGCTTCAAACTGCGATGTTGCTTTCTGATTAAAAAACGTTTTGAGTTCATCACGAAGCTCAAAAACACGTTTTAAAACTTTTCCTCTCGACAATCATCTCACTTCAGTGTGAAATAGCAGAGCATTATTTGGCGCATCCAACTCGTTGTACAGTTGCGAAAACAGTCGACTATTTAAATTGCTCGCCTTTACAAAATTGACAGAACTGATGACGCTTTTCATCACTTCTTGTAACTCTTGTAGCAGCATCTTTGTTGCTAATATTTGCCGATGAATCATACAGTGAGTTCCAATGACTTTTCGTGACTCATTCAGTACCAAACATTGAAATCCAGATCGACATCCTAGCATAGCTGGAGCACCATCTGTGCAAACATCACAAACCTTTTCCCAAGAGATCTTATGCTCTTTCAGAAATGAACCGTGTCAAATACATCATGTGCAGTAGTTGTCGTTTCAAGAGGTTTGCAAAAACAAAAAGCAACTCATCTTTAAAGTTGCCATCATTAATATACCTCACATAAACCAGTAACTGTGAACAGTTTGCAACATAAGTTCATCAGCTGGATGCTAAATATTGGAAGTGGAGCAGGTTTAATTTCCTGGATTATCTGATCAAGAATATCAGCAGACATGTCATCTATTCTTCTGCGGACAGTGTCATTAGGTAAGGAAATTGCACTCAATTTCGTAACAAATTTGTCCCCATCATAACTCGAACAATGTCTTTGACTGCTGGCAACAGTAAATTCTCAGCAATGGTGTGAGGTTCATACCTCTGGTGATTCTGAGTGCCACCAAATATGAAGCTTCCACAGCTGCTACATTTTGTTGTGGTACTTGCTACCACTGTCAAGTGTGGCTTTCTTGAGACCATCAGCTTTGCTTCTAAAATAGTTGGTATCCTTGCCAGCAAAGCTTGGGTGCTTGCTATCAAAATGGAGTTTTGAAAAATTCTCACTATATTTCCTTTTCTTAATGTTATTCTCAACATGATCCATTGTCATGGGATGGTTTGCTAATGAAAATAATATATAACAGTACCTTAATAATACAAAAGAGGATACATGTTCAGTCATTATAGTTCATTAAAGTTTCCTATGATTTACCATTCTCGGTTGTTGTTGTTTTTTTGTTTTTTTTCATGACTTTTACTTTTTAATAATCAGAAGGTTGAAAGAAGACAGACTTAAAAATACAATAAACAATACTTTTGAAGTTATACATACATCAATATGAGCACCAGCAATGAAATTATAATTTCACCCCTCCCCAACAGCATTTTTCCCATTCTAAAAGGATTGCTTTTTAGAATTTGGCATATATTCTTGCAGATTTTTTTTTT